TCGTCGTAGACGCGATCTCCTGCTCCCCAAATTCGCCACGCCGCCGTCCGCGCGCTCGCCGCGACGTTCTCGCCGGCGACGTTCAGCACGTGCTGGCGCGCGGTCATGACCAGTGCCTGGACGCCGAAGACGCCGAGCAGCGCCGTCGCCGCGGACGTCGGGCTCCACGCGGCGGCGGCGACGGCCGCGGCGTCGCCCGCGCGCCACGAGCCCGCGCAGCCGTCGACGATCTTGCCGATGGCGAAGGGCAGGAACAGCGACAGGCCCGAGCTCGCGGACTGGAGGCCGAGGCCCGCGGCGAGGCGCCGCCGCTCGGGCTCCGCGAGCGCGAGGAGCCGCTCGACGGTCGCGGGCGCCGCGCGCGCGTCGCCGTCGTCGTCGTCGAGGAGCGCCGTCGCCGTCTCCTCGAGCGCGGCCTTCGGCGCTTTCGTCGTTGCGTGGCTGCTGGCTGTGGGCGCCGTGCTGTAGGCCTGCCGCCGCGGCTGGAGCGTGCTCCAGGCGCCGACGGAGGCGCGCGTGAGCGCCGTGCTGTAGGCCTGCCGCCGCGGCTGGAGCGTGCTGGTCGGCTGGAGTGTGCCGACAGAGGCGCGCGTGACGATCGCGCGCCGCGATACGTGTGCAAGCGGACGCGCACGAACATTTGCAGCGACGACGCGCCTCAGGGCTGCTGTGCCGGACATCATTGCGCTACTTCAGCTCTCGCACGTGGGCACCATGCTTCCTCGTCAACATCCTTTACCCTGCCCACCCGGTCAAACTTGACTTTGGGTGAGGCCCTCGAGCGGCTCGGAGAGCGGCCGCCGCGACAGCGCGTGCGCGGCGCCCCCGGGGAGTGGGGCCGCGCGCTCCCGCATGTGCCTCGGGACCGTGCGTGGCCAGACCACTGCGAAGACGCCGCGCGCGAAACGGTCCGGGCGTCGTCGAAAACGCAACGGCCTCGTCGGAGCGTTCTCTCGAGACGGCTGGCGCGTGTTGGACGTGTTCCGGACCTAGCTGTCCGGGTTTCTCCGGAGGGAGTGCGGAGAGGGTTGCTACGAAGAACATGTCTCGCGAAACCCGGACAGCTCCACCGTCGGACCACCCTACGGCCTCGATTCCTCGATTCTCATCGATTGGCGGCGGTCAAAACGAGCCAGTGTGCGGCGCCGCGACGCCCCTGGACGTCCAGAGCGGTTCCGATACCCTCTCACGACCGATCACCGGGGCTCCGCTGGCCCGCGCGTCAGGTGAACGCGGCACTCGACAGCAACAGCTTGGGCGCCTCCTGCCAGCGCCTCGAAAACGACACCAACACGGTCTACAGCGACGACGCGCCCACGAACGCGAACTGGCGCTGGCGTTGCGTCGAGACATCTTGTCTCGACTCCAGAAGACGCTCGGCCGTCGAAACGGTGCTCTGCGCGCCTGTTTTCCTGCCGTTGGTGCCTCGCCAGTACACCCTAGCCGTACTAAACCAGTACAAACGCGTCGTATACGGCCGTATATACTCGCTTCGGCGCCCCGCGCGACCGCCTGGGGCCCGGGTGGACTCCCTGGGCTAGCGTGGACGTGCGTGGCACCCGCCGCCGTCGGGTGGACACGCGTACGTGGCGCTCGCGCACGCCGGAAATCTCCAAAAACCGATATTTTCGGCCATAACTTGTGCCAATCGATGACCTAGCATGATCGGCTGCGGTTCCGGAGCCCCAGATAAACGTCCATCACGATGAGACAAGCAGGGGGTCCGCGGTCGAGGTGCCCAAAATCGTCGATTTTCCAGTGGCGTGGGCAGGGTAAATCCTCGAGGTCTTCAGATTTGCCACAGCACCAGGCATGGAGCTTAGGCCAGCGCTCCTCTAGCCACAAGCGCTCCTCTAGCCACAAGCAAGAGCATGATCATCAGGATGGCAGCGCTCCTCGCGCTCCTCGTCGCGTCCTGCGCTGCCAGAAATACCACCCTTTCACGCCACGGCGGCCGGCGCCTCCACGGCCCGGCGGAGGCGCTGCGGAGCTTCCACGCGCAGGACGTCGCGTCCTGGGTGCGGGACCGCGCCGCCTCGAGCGCCGAGGCCATGGAGAAGTTCGCGCTCGAGGTCGCGCTCGCCAAGGCGAAGGCCGCGCCCTGCGGCGACGCCGTCGCGGCGGGCGCCTGCGTGCACCAGAACAACGGCGTGCCCTGCGCGCCGCTCCTTCCGAGCTGCGCGCGCCCCTGCGCGGCCTTGAGCGTCAAACTCTACGGCGCGGCGGGCGCGACGCAGCGCGAGGGCGTGCTCATGCACCTCTGGGGGTCGTCCGAGGCGCCCAGGGGCGGCGCGGGCCGCCACGCGCCCAAGGGCCCAGCGCGGACGGCGCAGCTCGAGGGCGGCGCGTTCCACGACCGCCAGG